TGAAAGTTAAGATGTTGAAGATGTTTCAAAGAAACTCTCACAAAAGGAGGCAATACCTCAAATTTTAAACATTTTTCTGATTAACATCCAGCCTCTTTTACAGGCAAGTTTGTAAAATGACTAAATATTACTCTTTTTTTTTTTAAATAACAATATGAACTAAAGAAATATTTCCAGTGATTTTAATGACACAACAACTATGGTATTTGTAGGTTCTGGGAATAGGATGAGGCATTTCAGGAGGCAAATGACATTTCTGACAAGACTAACATGCTCAAACAACAACAGAACAAATAGCACTGTTTGGCTTCAGCAAACACAGAATTTGGGGTCTTACATACTACAGCCACTTTCTCACTCACCAAGTACATGTAGACTTACTTTAAAATTTTTTTCTTTTCTTTATGACCCAATAACACATTCAGACAATACTCCACAGAATTCTCATTTTGACACACATATACTATAAATCTATTTTAATGCATCTAGTGTTTATTTATTATTTACAATATTTGTCAGTAGCCAATGAGCTTAGTAGAGACCAGCAACTATTTGTGACTTGGTGTTTATTATGTACGATCTCAAACGTATTTTCAAGTGCTTCAGGTGCAATGATGAAGAAGTTGCTAACACACCCTACAGCAATGAATGAGCAAATAATTACAACTAATCTGCATTTTCTGATTTGTTACAAAAGAATACAGAGAAAATATTCCTATGAATAAAAGCATCATAAATAACAAGAGTTCCTAGCCTTTTTGTTATTGCCCTTTTTTACAATGTTTCTTTGCTGGTAGTATCACAATAGTATTGATTATAATTATACTAGAATTAGTATTAGTATTTTGAAGTATAATATTGGTATTTCCCACCACCACAGGTTGTAAGCAAAATGTTGTAAAAGGTCTGTGCTTTAATTAGTTTCTAGCATTATTTGTTTTAAATTAAGTTAATTAAAATGAATGTTAAATGTATCAAAGGGTGATGAAGAGTGTCTCATAGGTATTTAAATTCTATATGTATGAATAAACAATAATAAATCTATTAAGAACTGAAGACAACTGTGCAATATCACTGTAGCTACTTACAGTTAAGTTGTGGCAATTTGATATCAATCATTGTCGTGGTTACTTGATTATGCAATTATCTACATTTCTAACTATTATCGGATTACTGGATACGAGTTAACATTTTTTTTGTCCTTGTTCTTATTTGTAAGTTGCTGATTAGAGGAAAGGCAACTAGTTGGTAGCACCTACCACCAACTTCTTTTATGTTGTTTGTGAACAGTTGAATAGAAGGAAGGCAATGCTTCGGGAAAATCGACTGGCAACTTTGTTTTTTGTTGTTAGTGGTGAACTCTGCTGACTAGAGAGAAAGCAACTGACTGGCAGCACCTTCTACTAAACTTTTTTTCTTTACTTAATCATACTACCATAGTTAAGGGGATACTGTACTAATGGGTTAAAAGAATGTTGTCCATTAATGGAATTGTTAATTAACTGATCAGCAAGCACCACTAACTGCTCATCTTCACT